CCATTTGAAATACTGTTCCTGTGGAGAGTGAAACTTGACCACAGTTTATTGTAGATTTAGTTTCTAGAAAGCTGGTGCTTGGAAAGACCGACTGGTACTTATCTCGCTGTTTAAAGACATGGTTTGTTATTTTCCCATCCTCATTGGTCTCACCCCCCACCCTCTCATTTTTTGGAAGAAGAAACCCAAGATGTAGCAATTAAGGGGCTTGTCTGGGGCACTGTGCCCTTGGTAGAGTGCTGTGAAAACCTAAGCCTCTGATCCCAAAGTCAGGGTTCTTTCCTTCCCTCGTGACACAAATGCCTCTAGTTCTGTTTACATACTTCGTAAAGGTTGATTGGTGCCAGCCCTAGCCTTGCTCTTGTGTCCTTTATGGCTGTCCTAGGTTCAGTCTCTGCAGTGCAGCCTCATTCTCTGCAACCTTAGTAGGTTTTAACATCAGGTTCTTAACATCGTGGAGCCTCAGTTTTCTTATCTGTGGAGCAGTCATTGTAACAGTGCCTATCCTGCAGGGTTGTTATGAAGATTGAATGAGAAACTGTATTAAATCCCTTGACGTAGTAGGGGTACCATAAATGTTAGCTGCTGCCTCTGCTTGGAGTCTGTCCATTTTTGGGGGTGGGGAGGGGGGGTGGGGATGGGTGAGTGGCAGCTGGCTGGTATAGGGATTGAACCCTGGACCTGGGTGTTATCAGCACTGTGCTCTAACCGTGGGAGTCTCTTTTTTTGAAATTTGCCACTTTCTAGCTGTGTGGCCTTGATTTAACCTCTCCGGGCCTTGGCTTCCCGTTAATAAAGTGCTGTTTGTATCAGTGCCCACCTCCATAGTATTGCCCTCAGGATTACGTGAGATAATACACACCTCTGTATGTATGCTGTGAACAGTGGCTGGCCATGGCACATGTGCTTAGTGAAAGTCTTCTGTTGCTATTATTAATTTCTCATAAAAGTAAGCTCAGGAAGGATCCCAGGACCCTATACTGTAGTCAACTGTATATTTTCTCAAAAATATTTTAAAGTATTTTTTCCCTATCAGTGCATGGTCACCACAGAACTTTTTTTTTTTTTTAAAGCACAAAAAAGAAAATTAAAATTTGTAATCCTATCCAAATGTGAATATTTTTGTGGCTATCCTCATTTTTTTCTGTATACTAGATATCTATACATTTCTCTTTTCCCCCCAAAATTGGGATCATATGTATTTTTTTTTTTAAACATAGCTAGAACAATCACATACCTCCATGGCTTCAGGTAAACAGCACTTTTCATTTTTGCCTCTGACTCATGTCAGTTAGGCTCAGTCACAGGCTTTGGGACTTATGGGAGGTCCCTACACCCCGTGCACCTCTGGCTGCAGCTGTCCTGTCTTGCTTTTTTCTCTTTTCCCAGGAAAGCAGAGGACTCAGTCATCTGAGGAGAGCATTAGCAGACACTAGAGTCACAATATAAGTTCAAACACAGGGACCGCTTGCCAACTGTGGTGGTCTGTTTCCTGGTGTATGAAGAAGGAATGCTGAGGTTTTCCAGCGGCTTCAGGCTGGAGGGCTCCAGAGTCTTTTTCTGTGCTCTTGCAGGACATCGCAGCTGTACAGGAGAAAAACTAACTCCTGTCAGTGGCATAGGAATCTTCACTTAAGGATTTCTTGTGACCTCGAGCTGATGAACTGTATAGAGCAATTTGAGCTGGACTTCACCTACATCAAATTAGATCCTGGTTTAAAGCCACCCTTGTAAATCTTCCTTGACTTTCTCTCCCTTGCCACTCTGTCTGAAGCGAAGAGAAGGAAAGTGCTAGAGTCAGCATGTTTCCCTTCCTCAGGCAGGCAGGATCCTGCCATGAGTGTGCTGGGTGCAGAGCCCATCTCCTGGCTTTGATGGCTGTGTGTTGGTAGGGTTTCAGATTTGGAACCAGATTTTGGGTCTCCTCCTTAAACTAGAAAATCATTCCAATGGATCAGATTTCTCTGATCTCATTCACTAAGATGATCTCTACTTGCATTTAATAAAATATTTAGAGACCTATTGAGTTCCAGTTGCTGTTTGCTGTTAGTAATGCTACTGAGTTTGACTTAGTAATACTACTCCAATTCCCAAATGCCTTGCATGGGTTGTTATTGAATGTGGGTCATTACAAAAGATTAACAGAATTATTGTCTAGAGTCTTAGTTACAAAGCATTTCTAAGTTATTATTTAGTCCCAAAGTAATAGGTTCCAAAAAGTTTTGTGCTTCAGCCCTAAATCCATTTACGTTCAATTCACTCTTTCCCCCATAGAATAAAACTTATGCTACCTTCTTGGTATTTGTTGAGCTACAAATCAATATCTCGCCATTGATTTAAAACGAAACAACCCTGACATTTCTTAGCAGACAGAGTCCTTCTGTCGTTGCACAGCCCTTTTCAGCAATGGAAGAACAAAGACACACAGTCCTAAAGTGGCTTGTGTGCAGCATCTTATGACCACGGTAAACTGTACATGTACTGAAACTTCGCTGTGTGTGTGTGTGTGTGT